GAAAATAAGCTACTCTCGAAATTTTTGTGTAATTTTTTGCCCAAAAATGGTAGCTTATTTTCGGGAATATACAGTAAGTAAAGCTAAATAGCCGTTAATATAGGCTACCCAATGTTTTCTTTCTGTGAAATTTAACCATTCAGTTAATTTTTTAGATGATCGCGTTCAGTATTTATTTTTCACATACCCGCGCCTGTGCGGGCACATGCACACACTATGAAAAATAAACACTGATCACGTTATCACGTTATGAGTTCAAAACAATATATACGTTGTACGTCTAATTGGCTGATAAATACTGAAATAAAAAGCTTAAACCAAAAAAAGCTTAGACCAAAAAATTTGTAACATAAAAATCAAGATAATCAATTAATATGTTTTACTACATCTCTAATTTGTTTTCATACTGTTCCTCCTCACATGAATGTTCCTCCACGACTGAATGTTCCCCAAAACTAAATGTTCCCCCAAGGCTATAGGTTTCCTGAGGCTAAACGTTTCCCCGAGTCTGAATATGAATGTTCTCCTGAGTCTGAATTTGAACATTCTCCCAAATCTAAATATTCCCTCGTGTTTGAATGTTCCTCGTGCCTGAACTGCCTAAATGTTCCTCTGTGCCTGAACTGCCTAGACGTTCCCCCATGTCTGAACTCCTAAACGTTTTCCCATGCCTGAATATTTATTTTTGGAGTACTCCAGCTTCACCATATGTTTCTCATACTCTTGTTCCCCAAGTGCTCCCCCCAGGAAGTTCTCTAGAGTGCTCCCCCAGAAAGTTCTCTAGAGTGCTCCCCCCAGAAAGTTTCTCTAAACGTCCCCCTCTAGAAAGTTCCCCCGAGTTCTCCAAACTTACAAGATTCAGGTATTTATAAGTTATTGAGTTATAAATGCATTGTAATAATTATAAAATTTTATTAAACCACATTACTAATTCCTGGTACTGTACAAGATCATGAAGCAGAAAGCAAAGGTGGACGAAAGAAGAGCTAGACGCTCTGACTCAGGGAATGCGTAGATATGGCACCTCTTGGTTTTTAATAAAAGAACATTTTGGTTATAATGGTGGGCCCTTAAGTAAGAGAAAGCCGGTGAGCCTTAAGGACAAAGCTAGGGTAGAATTAGAATGTAGAATAAAAAATAAACTGCCACTTGGCATTTTTAATAAAGTTAAAGTTCATAAGAACTTTAAATATTAAATTTTTATTGTTTGTTATAAAATTTTTTTTTTAAATTTTTGAAATTACTTTTAATAAATAAAAATTTTAAAACATGTTAAAGAAAATTGTATATTATTAATCATTTACAACTGTATTGGCGAATGCTATGCTAGATCAGTATTACCACCCAGGTAGTGTTAGTAGTCGGTTTCTAAATATTGACTAAGTTAATGATATAAATTTCTGCTTAGCTGACTAAGTAGTGATCATATAAAAATAAAATTTTACATTTAAAAACTTTTTTATTGATGATACACAATAAGAAAACTGATATATATTCGATACGATCTTTTTTTTATTATTATTGTTTTCTTACTACTATGAATTGAAACAATTGCCTAACTATTAAAAAATTATTTAAGGAAAAGTAAAAATAAGCTGATCTTTGAAAAAATTAATTGACTTAGCTAACTAAGTCGACTAAGTCGACTAATGTGCTATCGGCTACAAACACTATGTTGATCAATCGGATTACATACTTGAGTGCTGCCAAGAGAAAATGAGACTTCTGGCTTTTAATTTTATCAATTACTATTTACCTAATTTAGCCTTACTAGCGAATCTGATAAAAAAATAAATGATAAACTTGAAAACTCTAAAGCTCATTTCCACTATTTATCATATCTAAATTAACAAATAAAAAAAAAAAGAAGAAAAAGAATTTTAATTGAGAAATTAAATAGCAAATCTTTGTGAATTTGAATAACTTATTCTAGGTACTTAAATTAATAACCTTCGTTATATACATCTAAATTAACCAAAAAAAAAAAATTTAGATTGTAACATTTAAATAGTAAATATTCATAAACATATTTTAAATACTTAAATTTCCAAAATCCAAGTTAGTAGAATATACCTGCATGGTGCATCTGATCCAAGTTTATGTCTCCAAGACTCAAGTCAACGAAATATTCTTGCAAAGTGCCTCTGTCAGCTTTTTCTTCTTTTTACCCAAGATTATTTATTACTTTAACAAGGTACCTCTACTAATATATATGTTTTCATCTTTTATACCTAATTCAGCCCTACTAGCGAATCTGATAAAAAAATAAATGATAAACTTGAAAACCCTGAAGCTCATTTTTACTATTTATCATATCTAAATTAACAAATAAAAAAAAAAAAGAAGCTTTTACCCGGGTCAACAGGTAAAACAGAAATTTCATAAGGTTTTTGAAGTTAATTTTTAAAAGTTAATGCAACAACTTCTAGGGTGTTTTCAAGTGCTTTAGTTGATTGGTTGGAATAGAAAAATTAGATTTTAATTGAGAAATTAAATAGCAAATCTTCATGAATTTGAATAACTTATTCTAGGTACTTAGATTAATAACTTTCGTTATATATATCTAAATTAACCAAAAAAAAAAAATTTAGATTGTAATATTTAAATAGTAAATATTCATGAACATATTTTAAATACTTAAATTTCCAAAATCCAAGTTAGTAGGATATACCCACATGGTGCATCTGATCCAAGTTTATGTCTCCAAGACTCAAGTCAACGAAATATTCTTGTGAAGTGTCTCTGCCAGCTTTTCCTTCTTTCTACCCAAGATTATTTATTACTTTGACAAGATACCCCTACTAATATATATGTTTCTACCTTTTATACTTAATTCAGCCCTACTAGCGAATCTGATAAAAAAATAAATAATAAACTTGAAAACCCTGAAGCACATTTCCACTATTTATTACATCTAAATTAACAAATAAAAATAAAAAAAAGAAGTCTTACCCAGGTCAACAGGTAAAATGGAAATTTCATAAGGTTTTTGAAGTTAATCCTTAAAAGTTAATACAACAACTCCTAGAGTGTTCTCAAGCACCTTAGTCGATTGGTCAGAATAGAAAAATTTGATTTTAATTGAGAAATTAAATAGCAAATCTTTGTGAATTTGAATAACTTATTCTAGGTACTTAGATTAATAACCTTTGTTATATACATCTAAATTAACTTAAAAAAAAATTTAGATTGTAACATTTAAATAGTAAATATTAATGAACATATTTTAAATACTTAGATTTCCAAAATTCAAGTTAGTAGGATATACCCGCACAGTGCATCTAATCTAAGTTCATGTCTTCAAGGAAAAGTCAACAAAATATTCTTGCGAAGTGCCTCTGCCAGCTTTTCCTTCTTTCTACTCAAGATTATTTATTACTTTGACAAGGTATCCCTACTAATATATATGTTTCTACTTTTTAATATGAGTTTATTCTCTCCAAGATCCAAGAAAATTAGCAAGATGTTCTCGTAGAGTGCATTTATAATGCTTTTTCACTATCTGATCCAAGTTTATTATCCAAGATCCCAAGTCAGCAAGGTATTCTTGCTAAAAAAAACTTTCTTGTCCCTGTGATCCTGACATATTTGTGTTTTTAAATTTAAGTAAAAGAAAGAGAAAGAAAGTGTTGATTAGTAATTCAAACTCCTTTTATAATAAATTAACAATTGATCTAAGCTCTAATCTACATCATTGTTACCTCAAATCAATACCCAATAACCACACGACTTATGTGATAATCGTTAAGAATCTTAACAAATACTGAAACCCTGTTGAGCCAAAATTTGAGAAAAAGAGTTATCTTTAGCTTCTAACTGAAGCATATCAACAACCAGATAAGGTGCAATTCAAGGTTATACTTATCTTAAACTCCAGTATCGCAGCAAGACCCGAAAGACCTTGAGCCTCAACGCTTCTTTTAACCTACCAATTCAAGGTTTTGGATTGTAGTTTGGTTATTATAATTTTTAAGTTTAGATAGTTAGATAGTTTTAGCTTCAAACTCATTAGTCGCCACTTTTCAATATGTATATATGTATGTATAATCAACATCAGTAAAGATTCGAGCCAATATTAGAGGTTTAATCGTGAAATCTCAACTTCTCATGTTCTATCGGTTCCACTTCAATAAATCAGACTCTCATCAACTACCTAATTACATCTGATATTAATGTTAGTATTCTGTAAATCTCTTGATATCCTATTCCCAAGTTCAAATATTCCATTAGTATGTCACATCTTGACAGATTTTTGATAATAAAAGAATACCTTACATTCATTCTTTTCAACACCTCTCCCATAATTATAATAAGAGGTTACATAAAAGAATATTATAGAACATTGTTGTGATATATAACAGTTCCATCAAGCACAAGTAGTTGCCAAAGTTCATTTTTACTGACTCTTTTTGTAATCTAAATCCAGCACAAGTAGTTGCTGAAGTTCACTTTCACTAACCCTTATTGTGATTTAAATCCAGCACAAGTACTGTAGTTGCCGAAGTTTACTTTTACTGACCCTTCTTGTGATCTAAATCCAGTACAAGTAGTTGCCGAAGTTTACTTTTACTAACCCTTCTTGTAATCTAAATCCAGCACAAGTACTGTAGTTGCCGAAGTTCACTTTTACTGACCCTTATTGTAATTCTAAATCCAGTACAAGTAGTTGCCGAAGTTCACTTTCACTAACCCTTATTGTGACCTAAATCCAACACAAGTACTGTAGTTGCCGAAGTTCATTTTTACTGACCTTTCTTGTGAACTAAATCCAGCACAAGTAGTTGCTAAAGTTCACTTTTACTGACCCTTCTTGTAATCTAAATCTAGCACAAGTACTGTAGTTGCCAAAGTTTCCTTTTACTGACCCTTCTTGTGATCTAAATCTAGCACAAGTAGTTGCCAAAGTTCACTTTTACTGACCCTTCTTGTGATCTAAATCTAGCACAAGTAGTTGCCGAAGTTTACTTTTACTGACCCTTATTGTAATTAAATCCAGCACAAGTAGTTGCCGAAGTTCACTTTTACTAACCCTTCTTGTAATCTAAATCCAGCACAAGTACTGTAATTGCCGAAATTACCTTTTACTGACTCTTCTTGTGATCTAAATCAAGCACAAATAGTTGCCAAAGTTCACTTTTACTGACCCTTCTTGTGATCTAAATCCAGCACAAGTAGTTGCTAAAGTTCACTTTTACTGACCCTTATTGTGATTAAATCCAGCACAAGTAGTTGCCAAAGTTCGCTTTTACTGACCCTTCTTGTGATCTAAATCCAGCACAAGTAGTCGCTGAAGTTCACTTTTACTGACCCTTTTTGTGATTTAAATTCAGCACAAGTAGTCACCAAAGTTCACTTTTACTAACCTTTTTTGTGATCTAAATCTAGCACAAGTAGTTGTTGAAGTTCACTTTTACTGACCCTTCTTGTAATCTAAATCCAGCACAAATAGTTGTCAAAGTTCACTTTTACTAACCCTTCTTGTGATCTAAATCCAGCACAAGTACTGTAGTTGCTGAAGTTTACTTTTACTGACACTTCTTGTGATCTAAATCAAGCACAAGTAGTTTCCGAAGTTCATTTTTACTGACCCTTCTTGTGATCTAAATCCAGCACAAGTACACTTTTACTTACCCTTATTGTGATTCTAAATCTAGCACAAGTAGTTGCCGAAGTTCATTTTTACTAACCCTTATTGTGATCTAAATTTAGCACAAGTACTGTAGTTGTCGAAGTTCACTTTTACTAACCCTTCCTGTAATCTAAATCCAGCACAAATATATAGAATGCTTTGAATTGCTATTTAGATAGCATGCAATTCCTTAAAATATTTATAATTATTAAATTTCTTATAAATATTTAAAATATTATTTACCTAAGTTGATTCCATTTTAAATAGTATAAAGTAAATCTATCCCTTAAATTGTTTTGCAGCCAAATTTGCTTGCAAACTTTTTTAAATTTTAAATTTTTCTAATAAAATTTTAAA